GGGGGGGGGGGGGGGGGTCATATATCTTAAAGCACTTTTACCCTTTATGAGGAGGGGTGCTTTTCTTGTTGGTTTATCTGAAGAAAACTAAATTTACGTAAACTCTGGGGCACATATCTCCCCCCTAGTTCCTATGCTGCTGGTTTCCGATAAGTATACTCCATCTGTTGCCAATCACATTGCCCTTCACTTCCCAGTCTCCCCAAAATTTGCCAAATCTGACTGTTAAACAGTGTATGATTTAAGACACCAGTTCAACAACAGCCAAATAAACTCATTCAAAGACACTTCTTGTAACTTAAATGGCATTGCAAAGACATAAGAATTCACATGTAGTTTACCGTCATAAACAGAGTGAGGCTTATGTCTAAAACTCCTATATGGGAGTATATTCATTTTTTTTTTACTGGGTCTATTAATGCCAGATGAATTTTGCTAGAGTTGCGTTCAAGTTAACAGTAAGTGTAGCTTGCAAACAAATTTCATTCATCAGAGTAAGAATTTGTGATAGGATACATTTTGGTCAGTTCCATTGAACTGCTGCCCCCAAACTATAATGTATGTTGTTGGGTAAAGTTTGCCATCACTTTTTTATTTTAAAGCATAAGAATCGCCCCTGTAAGTAGACAAATAAAATTGTCAGGCATTAGACATTATATATCCACAACAATACAAATTCTATCAAAAATGGGTTAGCCCATTGAGTTGCATTGTGCCCCAGTGAACCCTACTTTATCATTTTACTCTGTCTGATGCCAGATGATTTTACTTGTCAGGGGGGGATCGAGTGCTGGCACTCAATGGGTTAATGGTTGATAAAGTATTTTTTAGAAGAAAAGATTTCTATGATTTATTGTATATATAGTTTACAGAGTCTGATAAAAAATGTAAATGTAAATAAAAGATTACAGAGTCTGATAAAAAATGAAGGTCCATGATAGATTTTGCTGAGCAAGATGATTATTTTTTGGGAGTGCTAGTGAGTGGGACACAAGGAAAAAAATTACCAGGATTATTGAGAACTAAAGATGTCATGGGATCTAGGACTACGATGGAAACAATGCCAGATGCTTGGAAAATTTCACCACAAGGATAGTGATTATTATAGTTTATTTTTTTTTAATTTTTTTTTTCATGCATCGAGTCTACTCAGTTTATTATTATGACATATGTCATAATAATAAACTGATATGTCATACTAAACTGAGTAGACTCGATGCATGCCCGAGCGCGCGCGAGGGTACAAATTTCAACACACATTTTTGGGCTGCCTATGAGACAACTATGGAATAAGGGACCATTCATTATTTATGACTGGGGGTGGGCTGGCAAAAAAAGGGGGTGGGTCATGAGGTATTTTTGACTGAAAAAGGGGGGGGG